TTGCTATTCCAGACTTGTGAGTAAAACACCCCTCGGTAGCTGATTTCACTGAGTCAAGAAGAGGAAACCTTGCTTTAAGAATTTATTTTAAGCTAATCTTGCTGGTTTTAAAACTTGTATTTTAAACGGTTTTTGCTTTGGCTACTCAAATACATGAATGAGTACTTAAATGTGCTGATTTTTTTACATGGAGGATATTCTGTGTCCGTTTGTATTCAAGCACTTGCACAGCTCTGCATTCTTCTAACTGTGCTCTTGAGGCAAGTATTGTTTGTCCTTTTCGGTGTCCAGGGTTTCTGGCAGTGTTCTGGATGTTTGGGGATTTTTTTCAGTTTGTCTGTCTTATAAATTTCTTCTTTCTGTCCTCTCCCCAACCTGGCCATCATGTCATTTCTGTCTGGATTAGCTCAAATGAGCAAAATACTCTGTTTTCACTTGTTAGCTGAACCGAAGCTGAAAATCAGATGAGCAAAAGCTCTTTTGCCCGAAAGCAAATGATCCTTGGGAATGCTAACAGTAATTTGAGTATGAAAACGGCATAAAGATCAGTCAGTGTCAGTAGTTATGGTCGTGACATCACATTATGAAAGAATCAGTTTCCTTTTAGCTCACCAAAACTTCAGAGCGAGGAGAAGAGCTGGTTGCCCTTTTTTAAAACAAAAGGGTGTGCAGTGCAGCAGTTGCCAAATGTGCTACAGGGAGCTGGTGCACTAAAGTTTCCTAGGGAAGCCTTCTTGCTCATGCTCATGGCTGGCAGCTGGCTCTGCATGATGTCAGTGCACAAGGAAATTTTCTGCCATTCCAAGCTGGACTCCGTGTCCTGAGTTCTGACTATTGTTTAGAAGTTCTCGAAGTCTGTTATAACTCTGAACATTTACAACTTAGCAAAACAGTTAATTCTTTATGTTCAATTTAAAAGAGTGTTACTGTAGGGATCCAGGGGGACAGCACAGACTGTGGTGGGTAATAAATCTGTCATATAAGTAACATAATACATTATTTACCAAATGTGGAGTGAGAAATGAAAAACTTTGAGACACATGAATTTTTTAATTTTTTGTGTGTGTGTAATTTTCTTTGTACCTAAATTTCCTTGTATGGAAGCCAAGCAGCATTGATCCTCTTTGTACCAGAGGACGTGTAGGTGTGCAGGCATGTGGGTGGCTCACAGGGTCACAGCCCTGTGGGCTGAAAAAGCCAAAACCTTGAGGTGTGTTTCCTGAGAAGTGGGGACAGGCCATTTTGTTGCTCTAGAACACTTTCTTCCTATCTAAAAATCTTGCATTTACTTTTCATGTGTTACAAAAAAATCCCTGACGGTGTCTGTGACTGCCACAAAATGATCAAAACGTATGACAAAACGTAGAAGAGAACAGCAGTCACTGCTAGCTGCAGTTTTGGCTTCACAAATGATGTGAATTTTTTGCTAGATAAAACAAGCAAATAAAAGAATTGCTTAAATAGTTGAGACTTGTGGCAGAAATTCTACATGAGAATCGATGTTTTCGTTCCTCTGGCACGGGTTCCATTTGCAGCCTCTCTTTGTTTTAGTTTTACTTCTTGTTTCATTCCTTTGTTTTAGGGAAAGGTGATGGAGCCCTGAGGACTTTAGTTTAAAATCACACCCAGATATTGTTTGTAGTTCCGTCAGTAATGTAAAAGCTGAACTAAAAAAGTCTAAATTTTCCTATGTATTCCTCAAATATTAACAGTGAGCCACGTATTCTGTTTTCTCTTTAGTGGCATTTCATGTGTGGGTGTGAATACTCCTTTAGTTGCCAAGATAAGTGAATGCTATTATGGTGGCAAAATGAAGCCCATGGTGCTGTTTTCCCAGCAGCCTCTTACGAAGAACTTGCCTTAATAAAAACCCCAAAACAAACCAAATTTTTTTTTTTTTTACTAATGCATGAGAGCCCTGAAGTCCACAATACAGAGCCAAACTGTATTTTGCCCTTATTTAAGATGCTCAACACGTCGTGAAGGACATAGTATGAGTTTCAGCCTCTTGTAAGATTGTGGTATAATATGTGGTTATTATAAGGTTTATTTTTAGTTTTCAGTACTTAAGTTTTGTAGAATGTAATGGTAGCTTAGGGAAGTTTTTAAATGTAGTAATGAGGAGAGGAAGTAGATTGAGAATGATGCAACCAGAGTATTTATAATAAAACACAAGCTAGTTTTCTTTTGTGGGGGATTTTTTTGTTGTTGTTGTTGATAGGACTTGTGACTTCTGAAATTGGGAGGGGGAAGTATGTGTTGGAAAAGGTCAGGATAATATGGACAGAACTAGGAATAGTTGACAGAGTGGACAGCTCCTGTTTTCTGAGTTATTTGATCATGGCAAAAAGTAAGTATTAGTAAGCTCCACAGCTTAGTATTCATAGAAGACTCTAGAAATAATTCTGAAGGTTACACGTCCTGTCCTAGTTTTCATACGTGTCTGCACTTCCTGAGTCAAGGGAGGGCAAGTGGGAAAACTTTTGATCCATACAAAAAGTGGAGATATAATGATTAATTATTAACAGTTTTACAACGTTGGAAATAGCAGGAAATGAAACTTGCTGAAAGTCGAATAACTTTTTCAGAGTTTCCAGCTTTTTCTAGACTATTTACAGATGCATTTTATCACAGCCCGTGGAGATACCAAAGCCTGAACTAAAAGGGACAAGACTTAAATGCTCTGAAAAGAAATTGTTGGCGATAATGATATATAGAAATGTGTGTATAAGTGTCTGAGAGGGTGAAAATGAGGCTTTCACTAATTCTTCTAGGTGATGATAAGCCATTTAAACCTTTGTTTAAAGGATAAGCTTGGGTTGTAAATCCGGTTTTGCTCTAACAATGAGACAACCAGGCTGTTTCAGCTTCATTGTTACGTTGCCAAGCCAGTTAAAATAGAAGTCTGTACTTTTTTTCTTTTTTTCATGCCTCCTGAATGAAACGAATATTCAGTTAGCCTGTTCTCTGCAGCACCTGATGAAAGTGGCTGTGCTTTCATGTCGGTGAACCCAGCACAGTTAGCTCTGCTGAGAAAGCTGCACCTCAAGATTGTTCCTTTGGTGCCAAATTAGAAAGAAGTGGTTACTTTTAATTTGGTCTTTTTATTAGGTGATGTTTGTTTTGAAGGGTTGTTTGTTGGTTTTAGCAGGGCAGCCTGGAGCATTGTGGCAGATCCATCAAAGGTTTGCTCCCAGCTGCCCAGCGTGAGGGTTTCTGCTTCCTTGTGGACAGGCTGACTTGGGTGGAATTGGAGAAAACAGACTGTGTGTGTCTTCATGTTTTAAAAACCGCATGATGTATTGGGATGGATTGAAATCTAGTTAGATGCAAAGGTTCTGTTGACTTTTGGCCACTATACTGAAACAATAAGAAAAATGGCTGTGCACAGCCTTTGTGAATTATAGGAACGTCATGAATTGCAACTGCTTCCCTGTCAGAATCTGGCAGCATCTTTTAGTAACCAAGAGTACACAATAACAGGTTTGAACGTGATTGATTAAAAGAAACAATCTCCAAAAAAAGTAAAACCTGTTCACTGGAATATGGCCCTTCATTTTCTGTTGTCAGCTCACATGAAGTCCTGATCTCAGACCAGGGTTCATTTGTGTGAGCTGTAACAGATTTACAGCCTGTGTGTAACACGAAACAATAGATAGAGACAGATGACAAAGAACAGGAAAGAATATTGGTCAGTATTGCTTACATCAGTAGGCAAAGATTTAAACACTTTTAAGCCTGAAATATCTTTTCCTCTTGGCCTCAGTGCCAGAAGAGACTGAGGAGTTTGAAGCAGTCTTGGATAGAGCTTATGACCAGCTCCCTTAACACTTGGGTGCAGTTTGGGGGGGATTGGGAGAAAGAAAACTGCTTTATTCAAACTATTGGAAGGACTCTGGATTCCTGTTATTGTAGGCTAATGAACGGACTTGGCATTTTGGTAGTGAAGTGAGTGAAAGGTTGTCAGGACTTTGCAAGTGAAGATGAAGTTGATTTGTTCTGATGCAAAGCCAATATGGGGAACAAAGAGAGGAGAGGTACTTGTCTCTAGTCTGTCATATCAGCCTCCAGTTATGAAACAAAAGGTTTCAGTACATGTACGTTAAAGCTGGGAAGAGTCTTTTTATTGTCTCAGTTTGGTGATGTGTGTGTGTGGTGTGTGTACCTCACGGGCTAGTTTTGCCCAGTCACAGTTGCTGGAGTTCAGTTGGTGTAGGTAATGGCTGAGACCCTTTGATTCTGGACATTACATCAGCTCCACTGTGCTATGAAGCTGCAATTTAAATTTTTAATACCACAGAAAATCATAAAGGCTATTGCTGTGGTTTGTAGCTAATTTTGAGAGCCGAGAACATGAAAAATGTCCAGATAATCTGAATTCTAAATAAAAGGTGGCAAGAATGTGGGTGATTCTATGGAATCTGACTTGGGGGAAGTTGTTTCCTGTAGTGAGATTGGATGATCATTTGGACTTTGAACTGGCAGTTAGGACACGTAATCAGCTTCCTAGGAAAGATGATCAGTACCGCTGAAGTTGCCTCATTCCGTATGTTCCTTCGTTAGAACTTTGGTTTTGGTCCTGCTGTTTAAAGATGGTGCATTAAACCAGTGCCTGAGATCCTTCTAAAAATTTTATAGCCATTAAATATTTTAGTATGGGAGGTACTATAAACTACTTCTGTCTAACCTACTTAGCCCTCCTTGATTCTTTGGAAGAGGATTGAATGAGTCTGCAAATGATTTCCTGATTGTTAAGGCTTAGGTGTCTCATGCTAACTTTCACATCAAGTTTCACTAACTCCTACGTGAAAAAGGGGATTTGGATTTATTTTGGGTGTGCTCTCTCATGAGCTGTTTAATGTGGGCTTTATACTTTTTTCTTCAGAACAACAAACAGATGATTTGACAAGGAGAATTCCTCAAACCTGATGTTTAGACTTGTGACGGAGTTTAAAACTGTTGAAAACTTTATGGTCTAATAACATTTTCCTTCTTTTCAGATTAACTGCTGAAGTACTGATAGAGTTCTGCTATTCTTCAATGAGGAACTACAGGCTGATCTTTTGCCATAATCTTAAACAACCATAAATGACAGAAGAATGCTTGGTCAGTGAGGGCAGCTGGCGCAGAAAGCGTTTTTCAAACTCGGCTGTATAAGTACTCTGAGGTAGGTTTCTCAACTTATTTTACTGGGGAAAAAAAACCCAACTAAGTATGGATTTCAGTATGTGTAATCTATTAGAATTTCTTCATTAGTAAACAGAATTTAGGGTTGGTTGGAGGGCTTGGACTAACAGCAAGTGCTTCATGTTCCTGGTGCCAGCCTCTGTGAAAAGGATTACTTGCATTTGAGCAAGTATGTCTTTTTATTTATTTTGAAAGGACATTTTCTTCTTTGCTAGAAGAAATGTTTCAGTTGTGACAGATGAACAGTTTAACGGAGTGATTTACACTGCCTTTGGTGATACCTTTATTACCTATTGAGATCCTTTATCAAGCAAAGACTTGTGAGTAAAGCTTCAGCTTCTGCATGATAGAAGAGTGGTATCACCGAGCACTTAGAAACTAGTTTTGGGAGTTTTATGTTCAGTCAGAAATTTAATCTGATACAGGTGTTGAAAGCTTTATTATGTAGACCAGAAGATACCAGATATATTAGAAGTTGGTTGCAGTGCAGTTGTGTATCACAAAATTCTTAATCATTTCATGTAACTAAAGCTTGGGGTTTTGGTTTGGTATGATCCACTGGTTTCGTTTCCTGTTGAGAGACTTTTGTGTTGAGTTCTGAAAGTCTGAGTGCTAAGTACTGTGAGAGAAGGTACTGAGGAATCCAAAAGTAGCTCAGAACTTAGCGATGTTTTAAGTAGAATTGTCTAAATTTTCTTTGCTGCTCTGTATGTTCTTCGCAGTCCTCTGTTGAGGGCTGGACAGAACACCTCAGGGATTGCTGGTTATCAAGTTAGCTGTGTTCGGAGTCATTACATTAGTGGACTGGTGGAGACAGACTAGAGATGATTTGCATTAGGTAATTAAAGCACTTTGTGTTACAGATCAATGCTCTCAACAGCCTCCACTGATGTGTGATTTTTGGTTTTATTTCCTCTTACTTGACAGAAAAGACAGCTTTGATTTTTGGCTGCAAAAAGATATGAGGAAGAGCTCCTCCCCTTCCTTGAGTAACTGCAACTCTGTTCTTGCTAACAAAATATTTGGAATTCCACTTGATGAGCTGCAGCAAGAAGGGCAACCAGACAATGAGGTTCCATTCATAGTCCGCCATGTCGTGGACTATATTGAGGAACATGGTATGTATTACCTTGCTGTACTTTAAATAATCTGTTTAACTGTCATTCTTACAGAGTAGATTGTGAGTTTTGAAGAGTACTTGGTTTCTGAAGTTACTTAGGTTTAATTGGCTGTGATCTCCTTGGTTTGGGTTTTTCTGGTGACGCACACTTCCTTTTTTTCACTCCTTCTGTTATGTCTTGATTATCACTGCCAGAGAGTGGATCAGTCAGTATGGGAATGGCACATATCTGGTATTTTTTCTGATACATTTGTCCATCCTGGATCTAAAACCTGTCTCTAATTCAGGGGGTCTGGAACAAGAAGGACTTTTTCAAGTCAATGGGAATGCTGAGACAGTGGAGTGGCTTCGGCAGCGATATGATAATGGAGAAGATGTGGACCTGGTTAAAGAAGCAGATGTACCCTCAGCTATTAGCCTTCTTAGATTTTTTCTTCAAGAACTTCCAGAGCCAGTTATCCCAGGCAGTTTGCACATACATTTGATGCAACTTTCTCAAGGTAATAACTATTTTTGATTGGGTGTTTTTGTTTTATGATTTTAGAATAAATCCCAGTATTGAATTGGGATTTGTAGTGGCACTAGGGTGTCTTTGATGTTTTGTGTAGTAATGTGTGTAAGAGGAGGCTTTCCAATACACCTTCTCTTAGCATAAAACCCAAATAAATAGGTCTTTTTGAGGAAACTCAGTCTGGGTTCAAATGCACAGTTCAGCATGTAGGAAAATGGTGAAGGTGCTGATTAATTCTGAGTATTCCATGAGGTGTCTTTGATGTTCTGTGTAGTAATGTGTGTAAGAGGAGGCTTTCCAATACACCTTCTCTTAGCATAAAACCCAAATAAATAGGTCTTTTTGAGGAAACTCAGTCTGGGTTCAAATGCACAGTTCAGCATGTAGGAGAATGGTGAAGGTGCTGATTAATTCTGAGTATTCCATGTTCTTGTGTGTGTATACTGGAACACTGATCAAAGCCACTGGAATCAAACGTGTTGGACAATTTCCCACCACTGATGCTTTAGAAGTGCTAGGGAATGGTTTTGTCTGTTCTTCCCTTACTTCCTCTGAGTTTTCACTTACTCTGCCTGTGGTTTCATGGCACTTAAAATTTTTGCATACTACAGGAGGGATCTTAAGTCCTATACTCCAATCATATTTGCTCTCCCACTGTGGATTTTTTACAGCTCAAAATTAATTTGTAGGAGGAAAAAACCACCTGTCATCAGCATATTGTTGTTGCTAAGTGTGTTTTTTCATATACTGCAAAACCTTGCCCATTCAAATTGGCACCCATATGCTGGCACAGTATTTTCTTAAGCAATTCTCAACTTGTGTATCTGTATCCACTCTCCTGGGTCTTTTGGCCTCTGCTGTGTTGAGTGGTGTTGGAGTTGATCCATGACTTGTCTTGCAGCACTGCATTAGTAACATCCTCACAAGGTACAGTACTGGTTGTCTCTGCAGTGTTGCTCCTTTTCCAGTGTCAGTTCATACTTCTCCAAATGCTTTTTTTGGCTTTGTAAAACACATGTTGTTGTGTGATTCAATTTTCTGATGTTGAGTTTGTTGCTAAATAGAACTTGTAATAGTCCTATTTGTTCAGAGTGGGAATGAGTTTGTAGGAGGAGTAGGTACAGCAGAGTTTTCATAAGGTGATACACTGTATTTACCAAGTGCTGAACTGGAGCATCTTCTGCAGCAATGTGAAGCTGCTTCATTTTCCTCTCTTGTATAGCCTGCATGTCCTGAAAGTTTGAATGTGGAGGGATAGCTGCTGAACAGAGCCTGATCACTGATGTGTGAGACATTAATCTTGTGCTGCAAACAATTTTTGGAAGCTAGTGACCAGAGAAACTTGTGGTCACAGGCTGAAGTTCTCTTTGTCCTGTGCAGTAATGAGAAACTCAAGTGCATAGGGAATTGAATTAGTGATACATCTTTTTGGGTTTTGTTGCCAATGTCATGGTTCATTGGACCTAAGTAGCCAGTAAATCTTGGTGGCTTTTTTTTTTTTTGTCTGGTTGATTAGCTGAGTTTTTTCTTCATGAAAAGATGATAAGTAGCAAAAAGATAGTTAGGACAGTAATGCAGAATACTGCTGGTTGCTCAGATAGTGCTGCTGTGCCCCTTGGCAGCAATGTTGTCTGTTGGGACTGGAAATGGGATTGAGGTAGGCTCACTTGGTGTGACAGTGTAATTCCCTTCCATCATGGTAAAATCTAGTGTGAAAATTGGGTTTTTTTCCCGTCTTTGAATAGGTGACTGTGGATGGATTTACATATGGATTGTTTTGGGAAAAAAGCTGATTTTTTTGCATGCAAGTCCCCATTTACTTCCCTTCGTGAAATATATAGAGAAACTTCACTTAAACTTGCAGCTTACTGTCTTTCCTGTCTTTTGTAAAGTGTAAAGTTGTCTGTAATAAGGAAATCAAACCACATAAACCTTAAATGTCATTTTCTGATACTAAAATTAGACTTTTGGTTTCCTCTAATTGGGTTTTGGCTGTCTGATAGACATCTCTCGGTTAGTTTCCAGAATTACATCATCAGCTGCATTTTAGGCAGAGGAATTGCTTACAGGACAGCAGAAGGTGGGAGTGATTGTGGTTCCATATGTGTTAGTTCTGCTATTTTCCTTATTTAGCAGTCCTTCCCTATTGTTAGGTTAGGCCTAGTCCTGACAACAGCTTAGTGATACTACAAGGTGTGGCCTCTGTCCATTGTTAGAGGTTCATTCCGTGCAGGTGGTTCCTCAAACACAAGTGCTTTCACTAATTGAAGTGTGAATTTAGCTCCCCTGCACTAAGCTACATGTCCTAGCAGTGTGTGCCCATGCTTTACTGTCAGAGGGATTCAGTTGAAGGTGAGAACCTTGTCTCTTTAGGTCTCTGGTTGTTTTTTAGAACTTAAATTTTAGGAGAGATTGGTTAGGCAAAACATGATGTGTAAGTGCAGAGTGGTCTGACTATCACCTCTCTTTTGCTCCCTTTCTTTTTGAAGGCCTACATTGTGAAAGTACTTTTTGAAGTTGTTTTTGTTCTATTTGCAAAAGAGTTAAAACTAACAATAAAATAGTAATTTTATTGCATTACTTGTTGAGAGAAGTGTTTTTCTGTGCCTGGGTGCCTGTATTCAGATGCTGTAGGTGGTGACTGTGTCTGAGCAAATGAAGTCCTGCTCAGTTACTGCTGGTGTTACTGTACATACACAACAGGGAATTTACTCATGCTTTGCTCTGATATTAAGGACTAGGATCTCTCAGCTCTCTCATCTAGAGAGGCAGAGTGGCTCGTCACCTTCAAACATCCTTTTACCTTTCTAACTGATCTCAGAAGAGTTTTCAAGTGGCTGAGGAAGAAGGAGAGGCCTCTTTGTATCCATTTTTCTCCTGTTTTGCTTTCCTGATGTTTATTTTCCTATATATGGAATTTCTTCATTGGGTACAAACACTTGTAAACTCTTTGAACCTTGTTGCCAGCTGGTGATGTAACAAATAAAATTTATGGGGAGATGTTTTGATGAAGGGTATAGTTAAATGGGGTGAAAATGAGGAGGTTTATGGTGACCCTTTTTCAGATCTGAAATTGAATCAGCAAGCTTCAAGCTAAGCATGTGTGAAGATGATTACCTTGAGATAGCTTGGATTTATCAGTTAGGTATTATAAAAAGAGGTGGAGTGGTGAGAACGGGATGTTTGTAAAGGAAAAAGTGTCCAAGTAGCTTATCTAATAGAAGAATTAAACTAGATTGAAGTAAACTAGGTATCTCTGGAGCTGTTGCTGTCTCTAGAGCTCTTCTGCAAAGCAACTGTTATATAACAGTGGTGAAACAAAAGCAGACAGAGGAGTTAACCATATGAAATCAAAGCTGAGTGAGCATTAGTTGGGGGAACATGCTGAAAACTGCTAATGGGACTTGGGGAGGAGAATGGGGTGGAAATGACTGAACAAATGCAATACTGACATTTTAGACTGTGGTCTGGCCAAATCAGTTGTACTTCAGAAGTAAGTAATTGTCAGAGTTGAAAAACTGATGAATGTCAAATATGAAAAGCAGATATCATATTTGTGATTAAAATACTTTTATTCCTTTTTTCAGATTATAATAATGAAGATGAATTTGGAAGAAAGTTGAGGTTCCTCTTGCAGCAGCTTCCACCTGTTAATTACAGTTTGTTAAAGTTTCTGTGTAAATTTTTAGCTAATGTAGCATCGCATCATGAAGAAATTTGGTCAGCAAGTTCTTTAGCTGCAGTCTTTGGCCCAGATGTTTTCCAGTAAGTCAGTTATAACATTTCATGCAGTGTTTCTGTGTGAATTTAAGTGTTTTTCTGTAGTTTCAAGTCTTTCCTAGTGCATGAACAACAGTAGCTGTACACAATGTGTTTTGGGCAGTATCTTTCTGTTCCCACCCATTCCCTCACCCCAGTTTTATCTTACAGTTTTGTCTGGATTTAAGCAGTAGCTTCTCTGAGCTGTGGCATTAGAAACCACTGATTTGATTGTTGCATTACTTAAGTTATACTGAGGCTCAAATGTGTGTGAGGTTACTATTTGTAGCAAGAAAGGAGTTCTGGGAGAAGGTCATTAAAGTTCCAGTTCGTACTGGTGTTTCCACAGGAAAACACTTGAATTTGAAATGTTCTTCATGAAAAGTTAATTGGCTGAGTAGTTGCTACTTCATGATTTTAAAACATAAAATAGTCTAAAGCTTTATAGTGCAGTCGTGTGAGGGCATGCTGCAAGTTCTGTGTGTTCAGAATGGGTATGGGATAACTGTGGAGTGGAGCCTTTAGTCACAGAAGTTCACAGCAGTTCTTTGGGGAAATAGTTGGATTTGGATTTTGAAACTAAAGCAGTGTTGAAATCTTTAGCATTTACACAGATGTGGAGGATCTGAAAGAACAAGAACTAGTTAGCAGAATAATGGCTGGGCTTCTGGAGAACTACTATGAATTTTTTGAGAATGAAGAGGAAGATTTTTCATCTACTAATGATTTAAGCTCCATAACTGAGCAGGTAAGAACATTTTGCATGGCACTATGTTATCACTGAAGTAGCTGTTAGACACATATTTATAAAAGATATATCGAAATACTATTTCTTTATTATGCTTTTTAGTAGTTTCTTGCAAACTGACAAAACCTGGCGTTTTCTGAGTTTTCTTAATGCTTATGTAATTGTTGCCTTTGTAGTAAGTATTGCTGTGCTGTGTAGGAAGATACCTAGGAACTAACCCAACAGTGGTATCCTGCCCAAGACAGACCTTGCTGTGCTATATGAATAACTTTCTAGTTAGCTGTTAAAAGAATCACAGTGTTGCTGGTCTTGGTCAACAGTATTTCTAGGTGTGTCTACAGAACATGCAGGGTCTCGCACTCCACTTGATGATCTTATCAGTGGTGCTTTCCTATGCCAAAGTTATTGAATGGTGTTTCTCATTCTAAGATTTCAAAATGATGTGTTTTCTGTAAAGAGGACAAAGAATAACACAAGCAGTTGCTAAGGAAAAGGTAACAAGAAATGCTGAACTTTGAAGCCTATCTCATGAACCTCCTCTAGCGAGACAGGTAAGGCAAGTACTAGAGCAGCTGGTTGCTGCTTCTTCCCTGCAGTAGACATCTCACTATTGGTGTGGTCTGCCAAGCGTGGGCAGCAAGTTCTGGGCTGAGCAGTGTCTGCTGTGTGAGCTCCACGACAAACGCTGCAGCTCTGCCCTGTTTGCTGGGTCGGAGCTCTTTGCAGGAGTACATGTGGCACGGAGACCTGACACAGCCCTGCTGCATGCAGGACACTTAAACCAGGCTGGGCTGGGGCTCCTGCACCCAGAGGCTCTCACCGAGTTGGGCTAACTGCTCTGTAAACTAGAGTTAGTTGGTCTGTGCTCTTCTGCTTTGAAATTACTGACTTGGCTGTGCCTCATTACATGTTTTAGCAAAAGGGTTTCCCAAGCGCAGCAGTTTGGTGTGTGGTTTTGTTTGTTTTTTCCCTTCGCCGGAGGGCTGGTGGGTGTCCCTTTAATTTCGTGGTGTCTCCACCAGATGTCAACAGTGCCCTGTGTCGGGGCCGGCGCGGTGGGGACACAAGGGCTGCTGTCCCCACTGGGCACAGCCTGCTGGCAGCGGCCCCAGTGTGTGGGTGGGCTTGCCTTTGCTCCACTGGCACATCCTCCTGCAATTCCAGAGCAAAGTCAGGGATAAGTACATTTCTCGCCTGGAATGTAGTGCCATGTAACACGTTACACCCCTTTGAAAAATGAACACCTCCTCTCTGCCTTCTGTGTAATCTTAAATTTCTAAAGTTTCAGTTTTTCATAATTTAGTGTTTCTGTTTTACACTCGTGTAGCAGATACTATAAAGCATATTTTCTTGAGGCTGCTACTTGAGTTTTTGTGTTTGCAAGTGTGGGAGATCAGTAATCAATCACAGAAGGGCTTTGGGAGTCAAACAGAATCACTTTGTTCTGTTTACCTTTGTATGGTTTTAGACAAAGTTGCTTTGTAAAAGATGAAGGTGACTGGCTTGAGTTGCCAGTTGGATCTCTTCTTTTAGTTTTAAATTGGCCATATTTTGTTGCATCAGTAGAAACATCTGTGTTTGGAAACAAAGAAACAAAAATAGACAAGAGGCTTCACAGAAACTTTCAGTGTTCATTCAGTGCTTTAAAGTTTGGATTCACAGACTTCTGTATTGCCTTCCCTAGAAGGGTTTGAAAATGCTTCTGCTATCTGAATAAGGCTGCCTGTGGAACAGAGGAGAGCTATCTGGTTTATGCTCAGAAGAAGAAAGGTTCTGTGGTTCAACTTCAGTGTGGTTGGGATTTCATTGTTTCTTGATCCTGCTTGTGTTCATTTATGGCATCAGAAGTCCTGCTTGCTCTTCAGTTTTTGTCTAATGTTTCAAAAGTAGCTTTTTAATGATGTGAAATTTATGGTTTTACATAAAAGCAAGCCTAGTGTGCCTGGGTTTTTTTCTAAAATTGAAAAGTGTTCTCCTCTTACACATACATTACTTTCATACCTCTCATGCTCTTTTAATTCTCTGGACCTCTTAAAAGAACTTTCCATTCCATTAACTTTGATTAAATCTTTTCTAGATCAATGATCTCTTGGAAGAAGAGGAAGATGTAAAGCTTGAGCAGTCTGAAGAACTTCCAGAAGATGGCACAGAGAAACCTGTGGAAAGGCCAGCTGTGGTGCATCTGGATGTGACAGGGAGTCTCTCGGATCCCAGGGGTGTTACAGCATCAACAAGGTAACTTGGTTCTGCCTTGGAGTTTGAATTCAATGTCTGGCCAATAATTTATTCTGTCAGAGAATCTGTCAGGCTTTTGGGATAAGTGGTGATGTCTACATCCTGAAGCTTTAGGAGTAGGTGCAATTCTTATAATAGTGAAATCTGGGATAAAATAACTGTTCCCAAATTCAGCAGAGGAATGCCTGTAGAACTCAGATTGGATTAACTATGGTGATTTATGCAGAGAAAGGTAAAAAGGGCATATTTTAGTGAAACTGTAAAGTGGTATTTGAGCAGCAAATTTTATAGCAGAGATATAAAAGGTTATCTGCATACTGGTAGATGCAAACCCATTCTGTACAGTCTTTCCAGCACTCCCTTTCAGTGGAAAATCCTAGGACTGTTTCTTGTCATGTGCTAGTGAGCAGAGACATGTTCTTGCATTACCCTAATTCCTTTCTAAACCTGTGAGAATGTGTTTATCCAGATATTTTTTTATGCCCAGTTTGGTCAGGTGTTAAATGAGGAAAGTGCTTCCTTATTTCACTAATACAGTGGAATGAAGAGTCTGGAGATGTGGTTAATTCCTGAAAAATAGACTAGAGAGAGGAAACACTAGGAATGAAGGGAAGGGATAGCGGAGAGTAAGGAAGATAATATTGACCATTAATGATTTTTAGGTTAGAACTTAGAGGTTCTGGAAAGGCCTTTAGTAGGAGCAATGAGGAGGAAATTCTGAGCACTCTAAAGACAGCATTTTGTAAGGTTCTATATGAGAATTTGTAGAATGGGTTGCTTGCAAAAAAACCCAATTTGAGAATCCCCAAAGTCTCCTTAATTTAAGTTGAAATGAATGCTCTGCTAACCCTGTTTGTGACAGTTGACTTGCTCACACATTTGTCAAACACCTGAAGATCCTCCTTCAGTTAATGCAAACTCAGTTTGTCTTGAGAGCTGTTGTTTCTTTGTTATATCATTGTAGGAGTGCCACAATTGGCACCTCTGCATGGGTTGAGATTTAATTTGGTAACTGCTTTTTAGAAAAATGCATGGCAAGCCAAGGTCTCACCTTGTCCAAACAGGTATAAAGGCTGCTGGAGCTGGAGGGCCCTGTGTTACCTGCCCAGAGTCAGCTCTGTGGAGGGATCTGTTTGGGAGAGAGCTGTGGGCAGGTTTAGAAGCTGCAAAGTGTGATCCAGGCAGTATTGGAGTGGGAGTCAGCTTTTAGGACCAATCCTCATAAAGGAGATGTGTAAACATAAAATCATCCTTCCATTTGAGAGCTTATTTGTGCTTGCTTTTCATTCACAGCTTTATATTTTCCTTTCTTGTAGTACTCAGGGTTTTATTTTGAAGTCTGCTTTATTTCTCTCTAGAGTTCACATTTTACAGATGGTGAATTTTGCCTCTTCCCCTCAGCTGCATGTTTGGTATGGGCATTGCATGTAAGAACTTGTAGGGAGGGGTGAGGAAGAATCTATAACAAAAGTGTGACTAAAAGCAGAAGAAATGCAGAGAAAATCACAAGCAAGTTACAGCCTAAGACTGACTAGTTTGAAGAATGTGGATTTGGGTTGAAATCTTCTGGCTGCACATTTCCTTCTGCTTCATGGCAAGAGCTTTCAAAATACAGAATAATGAGGGAAACATATTTCTGTTTTGTCGTTTAAATTCTATTTTAATTGTTAATTGTCTTTGTCAGCAAGAAAGCTGTTTAATTTTAGCTTGAGTTAAATTAAAAAAAAAAGTTGCAGTTTAACTATTCACAGGTATTAAGTTGCTTCTGGAATGTGTAAACACAGCAGTAGTGACAAACTCAACATGTTTGGGAGTTTAAATTGGATAGCCTGAAGAGAGAAACATTTTTACTTGATGTTTAAGGTTAATTAAAAATGAATAGACATTAATTATGGTTGGCATTTTACATAATTTGTGGGGAAGGTTAAGGAGGAGTCCTGGAGAAGGAGAACTTTGACTGTAAAACCAAAAGAACTGCATTGGAAAAAAAATAAAATGAGAAAGTGTACTTTATTAAACTTCTAGCCACTGTAAATACTGTAAATGTTTTCCCAAATCCAAAGGCTTTTATGTGTACATTTAATGGGGTTTTTTTTGGGTCTTAGTTTCTTGATGTAAAAAGGAATAATTAAAAAAGCAAATGCTAGTGCAGATTTATTATTTGTCTTGACTTAGAGTTTGCAGCAGCTTCCACAGGAAGGAAGAGGGGAAGGAAGAGGGGAAGTAGGTCTTAAACATGATTCTTGCTGTTCCTTAACCTGTAGTGTTGTTGCCTTTTTTGGTGTTGTCAGGTTTTGGGAACCGAATATCTGTATATCTTGGTCTCTGTGGAGAGAAAGAAAAGCACACTGAGAGTGCATGTTGGAGATGGTTCTCTTGGCTCATTTGATCAGGCATCTGACCTTCCTGCTGGCTATTTGCGCTGTAACTTGCTTAGAATTTTGCTCACTGCCTTTTTTTCTCTCTACATATTCTGTTTGTTCTTTCTGAGACCTGTGACCTTCTTGCTCTGCGTGCTGTTGATTTGACTTTGAGATCTGGTGAGAATGTGGGTAATCATTAATGCCTTTGATTTAGGGACTGCTTGGGAATGCTATTTAAAGAAACCTGTTGAGTGATCTTTGAGCCCATGACCCAGCAAGAAAACATTTGTTGCACCCACGTTGGCGTTGTGCGTGGAAAGGAAACTGTTCTTTCTTACCAGAAGCCTTTCCCCACGGCTCTTTCGGTTTTGCTCTCCTGACTTTTGGAGAGAGGAATTCCTGACTCAGCATCGCAGCTGACTTTTAAGACTTGCTGTTGGAATAACCACTTTAGAATCCTTCTCTGTCAATATTCCAAATTTTTCGTCACTGTGCCCTGCCAAACAGTATTTGCTTTACTTGTGCAGTTCATCTCAAATATTTTCACTCAGAAGCCTAATGCAAAAACTCTTTGTTTTGGGTCTTTTCAAAATTATATGTGTGAAAATACAAGATGTGACACCTAGTTGTGTAAACGGTTTGCTTTGTTTCTAGTAAATGCAGTGACAAGGGCAACATCCTCACAGCTCCTATGATAACTTTATTAACCCTTTTGTGTTTTGATTAGCTCTGCTCAGAGAGAGGTGATAATACAAACAGTTACCAAGTGAGACAAAAATCTCTAGTAAGGCTGACACACCTAACAGCTGCCTGAATTGCTGGGAAATAGATTATTATTCTATCTTTACCATCCAAATACCTGCCCCTACTTCCATCCCGGAAAATCAGTAAACAACATGTTAGGAAAGCTTTCAAGTGTTGATTGGGCAGCTTATTGTCGGGAGTGACCTCATGTTGCAGTCGGTTCTATTTAGACTGCAGGGTTAGTGCAGCAGTGGGAGACTCAGAGCCCTGGGAGCACAGCGAGCAGCATGCACAGCCAGCAGCCAGCACCACGCTCTGCTGCCTTCCACATGAAGCAGTTTTACATGAAGTGCTCGTTCGGGCTAGCAAAAATCATCAGAATGGCCTGTAAAGTTCTGCTGCACAGGTAAAATCTATGCGAGGAAAACGTTGTTTTGATACGACAGCAAGAGAGAGTTTAAAAGAATGGGAGATTAAATATGTTTTGGAGATGTTATGGAATGAAACAATGTCACAGCTGGGTATTTTAGTGAGGAAAAAGAATTTGTACAGGTAGTGAATTAACAAGAAAAACTCTGACATGTTTTTCTCTCTCATTAATGCTTTTTTCTACTCAAGGAATATTTTTACTGGGACTTTTTATGGGTGGAGAGACCGTGCAAAAGGGATTCTTGGGAGAGGGTTAGCATTATGAAACAAAGATGTTTACCTTTCTGTGTCTTGCTGTGTCATGCTGCGTTAGGGCTCTGCTGTCCGTATAAATTACAGCTTTGAAAAGTACCCGTTAGCTGTGTGGGCTCACAAGTTGTAACGGCTTTTCAGCTCAGAGCAATTAACACGTTTCTTTCAGAAAGTGCTTAATTGCTAAAGTAATTAGTTGGAGGTTTGATATTCTTTATGTAGGAAGGGGATTCTTCAGGCTTTGCAATAGTACTGATTTATCCACAGCTTTTGCTGAGTACTTCAGTGAGAGGTGTTGAATGAAAGCAGCGATCAGTCAGTCCTGTGCTGGGGCTGAAGGTTATGCTCCCAGAGGTGTTGAATGAAAGCAGCGATCGGTCCTGTGCTGGGGCTGAAGGTTATGCTGTAAAATGGAAAATTTTGTTGTGAACCATGTCTGAAATCGTCTGGATTCTTTGGAGAGGTTTGATTCTTTCCATTCTTGACACAGTTCCTCATTGTCTCAAGTGGTAGAATAAAAGGATTTCAGGTCATCACAGTTTCCTATAAATAGTGTTTATACTTGTGCCCTTGACTGAGTTTTTCTTGCTCTCTTTTTCAACTGGAGTATTGCAGTATTCTGTGCTCTGAGTCCCTCTTTTTTTTTTTTCCCTCCCAATTTGTCCTAGGAGGGACTGTTTTAACAGCAAATGGGTTTAATGAGTATGGATTAATACCTTTAGAATGGAAGCATCCCTTTTGTAATGCAGCTTTTGTAGAACTTACTGCCATGGATACTTAAAGCTACATTTTTTCCTGCTTTGAAGTTTTACTGGTTTTTTGTTGAGATTCCTGCTCATGCTGCTTCTCTCTTGTTCATGAAGCTGAACTTAAAGCTGCATATCTTCATTTTTAAATTTTAAGTTGAAATAAAATGTATGTGTCAGAAAATTTGCTTTGTACAAGTAGTCAGGCTATGCTGAACTTCTGTGCACAGGAATATCAATGGAATCTATATAGCTTAAGTTTTGAACTACCTTGTACTTTTTGGTTTGTTTGTTTGAAAGTAGAAAACAAAATGCCAGTGTGTTCCCCCTCACTTGTTTGATCCAGCAGCTTTGAAATCGGTGGCTACAAGATCTGACTTCACTGTCAGGTGTTTTAATTTTCCAAGGCTATGTGACTGCCTCTTTTGAAATAATAGTTGAATGCTGCCTGTTTTATCAAAGCATTTGGAATGCATCACCTTTGGCTTTTCACCCAGGCAGACACACACATCCAGGTCATAAAATGGGTTTGGTTCAGAAGAAGATTTAAAAAGGGGGAAAAGAAGCCTCTGTGAGTTCCTGCTTGTTGGGCTGTGACATGGTTGGGTTTCAATGCAGTGCACTATGCTGTTGGCCCAGTACCAGGTGTCTAAGGCAAACTGGTACATTTATTTTTAAATAAATACTTTAGCCACTTTCCCTAATCAGCTAGTGTTTAGATGAAAGTCCTTTATTGCTTGTGTTTCATCTGCTTGGAGGAAGAAAAACACCTCAGGAAGTCTGCTTGAGGTGGTCTCCCCCTCTGGTGGTGGAACTACTGATAAACCTGATAAGGTCTAGCCAAAATATTCTTTGTTGTATTAAAACTATGCTTGGGTAAGCAGAGACACTATCTACACTTCTTTAGTACAAGAAAGGCTCATACCAGTCAAAACTCTCTGGTAGAGGTAGTGGCTGTTCAGTTCTCCAGGGGAGGGGTAACTCCCTTGTATTTCAGGGTTTACCTTATCCATTCATGAAAACAATATTTCAGATCAGCTTTGGCTGCCAGCAGTGTTGTTGTATGGTAAAAAGTCGACTAAAATCTTGGTTTCCAGCTTCTTAAGCTTACTTATCTATAATAGGAAGAAAAAGCATTTCTTTGCCTCCTTCCCCACCTCTGAGTTAAAATGAATTTGGTATTTACTATTTTTTCTGAATGAGATGTGTGTTGCAACTCACTACTGTTCATAATAGATATTTCATCTTTTATTCTTAGCATACTTACTGTCCCTCTGTCTAAAGTTTTAAGTATTCTGTTTCTAATTACAAAATTTAGATCATAGTAATAGAAAATTGTAGAGGGATCACATACCCGTGAATTCACTTACTTGTGTTACAGTATTTTCCACCCTTCCACTCCCCAGAGGAGTTTAATATTCTAGGCTGAAGTGGCTTCTGGGAGATTTCCAGATGCTTTGCAAATAGCTAGTTCCTGTCCAAAAAACCTCTGGAAGGTACCTGTCATGTCCAAGAAATGCTGTAGCTGTGCTCGAAGAGTGTCGTGGATCTGTTAACATTGCAGAATAAAATTGTACAACAGTCTGACAGGGAGGGAAGTACCTGTGGAGGAAAACAGAGTAATTTGGAATTTGCTTTAGGCAGCAAGGTTAAAATCTGCATTCTTAAGCGAGGTGTCAGGAAATGTTTGACTACAAAGCGATTATTGTTTCCCATGGGAAAGACCATACATCTGAGAGCCTGTAGCTTCATAATGTGCTGAGTATTGGCTCTTGAAAGCCAGAAATCTGCATTCCTACTTCTGCAACTTTGTCTTGTGATGGCATTCCTTGAGATTTCTTCATTTAAGTAATAAAGGCATGGCAAGTCAGGGTTTTCTTTACACACTCTACTTTTGTTAGCTGCATCACATGCAGTCTGTAAGTTGCTTTGTGTTGACTTCAAGACTTTTATTTAGTGTGCCAACTTGTTACCTTACATTAAGTTTTTTCTTCTTTATTGCAGTGCTCATATCTCTCCCATAAGTATCTTGCCAGCCTCTGCAGAGTAAGTATAATGAAAATATAAGCTGTTTGAGTTGTGCTGTTACTGGAACATGCATAGAAGTTATGTACCCTTTAAAAAAAGGTGCAGTAGGTTTGGTGATTACAGTTTTGAATGAACACATCCTAGTGTGAAATATTTCACTTATGGCATCTAACAGTAATGCAGGAAAAACCTGTGTCTGTCAGTGTTGTTGACTGCAGGAGCTCGAGGGCATGTGTGGTAGGATCTAGAGTCCAAACCACTTTGGTTTTATACTCGGATACATCACAAGTGCTTGACTTGAAAATTATGATAGCATTCACATTGTATTTTTAGCACCACTTCCAGTTGTTGATATTGAGTACACTTCAGTGGCATTTTGAGTACAAACGTGGAGGGAAAATAAGAGCAGTATTTCAGAGTTAAAGTGGGATGAAATAGTTGAGGATGTTTACCAAAGGATTTTTTATAGGCCTCTGCATATTTGGGATGAGCTGGCTAAGAAGCTCTCAGTAGTCTGGTTTTAAAGAATGCAGCTCTGTTCTTGATGAATCGTTGGGTATATCCTGTGTCCTTCATCAGGTGCTTTCTGACTTTTGCTGTTTGTTTGCTGTGCTGTTTGTTGGCTCTTGCCTTCTAAGATTACAGCCCTGCTCAGGAGGGGTGGCAGCCAGCAGAGGTTGTGCTGACGTGGGTGGGGCCTGCTCCGGTGTTTTCTCTGAATTTTCTGTCTTTTTTTTTCTTTCTTTTTAGCATTTTAGAAAGAACAATTAGAGCAGCTGTGGAACAGCATCTTTTCGACCTGCAGAGCAGCTTAGATAACGATCTGAAACATATACAGCAACACAGACTGGGCTGTAACAATGAAGCAAATAATCCCAGCGGGGATGAGGAAGGATCTAACAACCAGTAAGATTTTGTTCTGTCTGCAGTGAATTCTATAGCATTGTATATCTTAACTCTTCCAAAACAAACAGCCCAAATCCCTCACCTCAACTCAAAAGCAATGAGTTTTGCTATTGACTTCAGTTTCCCTTCATATTTTAAAACAAATCAACTTCTAGCACTTGCCAGTAATCAACAGCCCTAAAAATGTGAAATATATCTACTTTACTGCTGAATTCTGTGCAAATAGCGCAAGAACTTAAGTTTACCCAAGTGCTTTCATTCTTATCTCACTGATGTGACTTATGACAAAAATTTACCATATTAAAGCTATTGTAGATGCTGTTTCAGTTTCTTTACCCTGTCATGTCAACATAGCTATTTTACTGCTCTGGCTGCCAGTGTCAATAAACCAGCCAAAAATAGATAGAATGAGCACTGTGGGTCTATTTGCATAGAGTTTCAGCCTCATTTGATCAGCTTTTACTTTTGTTGTAAACCATGCCATGTTCTGAGTGTAGCCATTGCCATGGAGCTCTGAGAAGTTGGTACATTTTGGTGCTTTATTAAAAATAAGTAGTCATGATGAGTACATAAACTCCAAAAATGTGTTGTTGTTAAGTAAGACTTCAGTAGCTAAATTCCCCTAAATTCCTTTGTTGCTTAGAGCCTGAAACACATGAAGTGACAAGAGACTCAAATGCTGTTTTCTAAATTGCTCAATCTTCACTGGTTTTAGAAGTCCTGTTAGTAACAGGAGGTCAGAATAAAGTTAGCTGTTGATCATGAAATTAATAATCATTGCTGGTAATGATCACTTAAACCTGAGTTTTAGTGTTAGAGATTTAATGTCTTTAAGGTAATTTCTAAGTGGGTAATTGCCTGGAAGACCTGTAGTGGCTGAATTCCTTCAGTTACAGCTCAGTGCTTTAAAGGTTGGCTGACTTCACATGGGCTCAAAGTGCCATCACTGCCGGTTTGAAACCAATATCCTCTCCTGGCACAGGATCCACTTCAAATGCTTCTGATCATCTTCCACCCTGGATTAGCCCGAAGCAAGGATACATGATAACATTCTTCAAAGGGGTTGTCTGGGTTTTTTAAAGCAGCAGACTCTGCATGAGGCAAACACACAGTTACATGAACTACAGAGAGCAGTGATCCAGTGCAAATGTCTTAGAACTAACTTAAAATAATGGCTGGAATTAGGAAAAAAAATAGTTAAAATGTTAATTTCCAATCCATCCTGTTTACCATCTCTATATCTGATAGAGAAGGAGCTTTTTGAAAGTAGTTTGGAATGCTCTGTGAGTGAGGAGAAGGAAGGCAAAGGCTTGTGATGAATGACAGAGTCATGTGGTAACAGGGATGGTGGCACACAGAGAATATATGGACAAAGATAGGGTGTAAATTAGTTTTGACCTGGTTGTGCTGTTACAAGCCTTAGGTTGAATCTAGGAAGGTTAAATATCAGAAATAATGGGATTTCTCACTGGAGGGGAACACAGTGACACGAGCTATAAACCAGCTGGGTTCAGTCCTGAGAGGAGTGGAGTCACCATAGTTTCAGTATGTCATTGCTTCTGGCTGTTGTGCTTTTATTCCTTAGGTTAGCCTGGGAAGTGGGGGATGTGTGCCTGGCCCTTCATACAGGAGTCAAATAAATACACCTGACTATGTCTATCATGTGCTGATGTAGAAAACATCACAAGTATATATAAACTACATAAATAATTAAATTTCCAAAAAAAGTGGTTGGAGGATACTACCAGTGTATTTGGTCACAATCATTCTGTTGGAAAAAAGCCAACCAAACAAAAAATACAATGATGTTTGATACTGTTCTAGAAAAAAAAAGTAGTGTTTTTCCTTTGATTTTTGTTTTCCTTTAAAGGTGGAACAACAGGTTGCTGAAGTATTTCTGTTCTTGTCTTTAGGAATGATGTTATTGAAGATAATGACACTGGTCCAGTGTATTTGGTCACAATCATTCTGTTGGAAAAAAGCCAACCAAACAAAAAATACAATGATGTTTGATACTGTTCTAGAAAAAAAAAGTAGTGTTTTTCCTTTGATTTTTGTTTTCCTTTAAAGGTGGAACAACAGGTTGCTGAAGTATTTCTGTTCTTGTCTTTAGGAATGATGTTATTGAAGATAATGACACTGGTAGCAGTGAAAACACAGGAGACTGCTCTGAAGTATTGGTTTGCACTGATTTAGACAGTGAAGCTATGAAACAGGATACTATAACTGAGGAAGAAGAAAACGTTCAGGTGAGAGGAAGAGTCTCCTGTATATCAAATCATAAGTTGCTGTGACTTTTGTGCTTTAGAGATCCAAGTTTTCCTAAGAGCTCTGATGTAACCTCACATGATGCTGTTGCTCTGTGCAGTCAGTTGTCTTCTCTGCTGTGCCACTTTGTTTGGACACCGACTAATGTGTTTCTTTTGGCCTTTCACAGGTACCAGCCCTTCCTTCTGCTGAGGTGAGTGAGTGCCAGCAGAGCACTGTTTAGAGCAGCATCTGTGTTAGTAAAGGCTTCCCGAGGAGCAGAAAATCTAGAGCTGTGTTACAGCATAGCCCACAGTTAGTCACCTTGTACTGTACCAGGAAAGGATAGAAGCAGCAGTCACCTTGAGGCTCTGCAGCCTTTTGAGTCTACTTGTGCTAGGAAGGTGTGGTTTTGTAATTGGCTAATTACAGCCTTTTCTCTCCACTTTCAGTTTCTCCTGTGGTAGGCAGGGATGTCATGTTCTTTTCAACACCTCTAGCTGAGTTTCTGCTACTTCTTCTTGGGCCTCTTTGCTTAGCTGTTTGACTTGTGCTGTGCTGGTAGCTTGATCCCTCCATACTGATGTGTACACTTAAAATTCTTAAAACTGAGGGAAAGAAAATTAAACTAGTGACCTCCTGAAGAGCTTCAGCACAGCATTGTCATCTTGAAAGCTCTGGATTGAGCATTTGTATTTCAAAGCAGAAAAATCTGTCCAGAAAGCTGTCTGAGCACATATTGGGATGTGTTGCTAACATGCTTGTAAAAATACATTACTTAGTTATATTGTAAAAAGCCCAAACATTTTGCTCAGAAAATACAATGTTAATTGTACTTGAAGTTGCTGTTGAAGCTCATAAAGGAACTGAAATTATAAACAACAAACCACAGGATAATTAGGTGTCATAAACTTCATTTTGTCTTTGCTTTTATATGTTATGCTTGAACTGAATAGTTCCATGTCACTGTGAGAAGCAAGTATTGTATACAGTCTGAATGGAAGCCCAGTGCTGTAGCAGCTGTAAATGCTGAAGTAATTGTTTGCCCTACACAACAAACTTGGCTCAGCTTTGCTGGGAGCTGCAAATTACTAGATCTTCACATATAATCAAGTGTGAAGGTTCATAGTATGTGTGGCCTGGGCTGGTAATGGTGGCCTGAACTGTCCCAGTGTTTTTCATTAATGACCAGACATCAGTCTCATTCAGGGTATCTTTATGCAATCAAGCAATGCTGTAAAATAGGTGCTGACAAAAATGGAATCGAAGACAACAGTAATACACGAGTACTGGAGATTTTTACCACTCTGTATCAAGTAGCACATATGCAGCTGTCAAATTAGCCCTTCTAGTGAAAAAAATCAAATCTGTAGTTCCTTATTTATTTGGTAACATTTTTGTTGTTACAAATCTAAATGATCAATTCTGTGGGTAGGGAGGTTTGTTATACAGGTGTAGAGAACTTGCTGCAATGATTTCCAGCTTCTTGCCTGTGAGTCTGTAAATCTTTCTGAGGGTTTCCTGAAAGATAAGTAGATAAGCAAACCTGTTGTTAGGAGACTTAAATTAACTGGGAGAATTCAATGGGTCTATGAAGTTGAAAAGAAAGGAATGGATGCCTTAGAGTGGAACTGTGAGTTGTCTGGGATCTGTGTTTTGATTAAAACAAAATATTGCTGTAGTGCTTTTCACTGCTGTGAGGTGTCCTTCTCCTGGCCTTTTCCTTGCCTTCAGGGATCCCAAATGATTCTTTTGAATCACCTGTCAAGCCAGATTTTTCAGTTGTCCCACAAACTAGCCTATTGTTTTAGAATCCCATCCTGTAAATTAAATAAATTTTTCAATTGTCCCACAAACTAGCCTATCGTTTTAGAATCCCATCCTGTAAATTAAAATTTCACATGTGTTTGTTGTCCTGGTTCTTTCTGGATGCATTAGTGCCAAATCTGGCTCTAAAAAAAAAAAAGTAGATTGTTATCCTGTAGCACAAAACAGGGTGATGAATATACAGGGAAACATGATGCTTGGCTCATGTATAGTAATGCTTTTGTTGTCATCCCTGATGTCTGTTTTGACTTCTTTTGCTTTTTGATAGACTTTTGTCCATTGATATCAGTGCTGAGGTGACATTCTGGGCTGAAGTTTTGGTTTATTTCAATGTTAGTTTCTACCTTCTGGTTAACACACCATTTCAAATGTTACTGGAGAGCTGTATCTTTTAGGGTGAGGTTAAAGGGAGGGATAGCGATTCTCCTGTGTGGCAGGAGCTTGAGAGGAACACGTAGGGTTGTAGGAAAAGAAAGATGTGCACGTGAGCTCTCCCTTGGGCCTGAAATGGAAACAGAAGCAGCTGCTTCCACAGCTACAAGAAGTGTGACTATACAAGACTTGCACAGCTCATCTCCAGGATGGAAATTATCTGCTGGAGTATGACAAATGCACTGTAATTAAAAATTGTTTCCCCCAATTGGAGGACTTGAGGACTGAAATAATGTAAATAGAACAATGGAGTTTTTTCTGGTGTACATTGCTGTCAGCAGTGTAAAACTGACAACTGTTGGGGTATTTGAACTCTCCTGGTAACTTTGTTTTATATTCAGACACTTTAAAGACAGTTTTGTGAGAACTTCTGGAAGTCTAAAACTAAACAGCATATTTTATATTTCAGATGTCTTCCATTCCCCCAAATAAAACACTTCTTGAAGCAATCAAGGGCTGAGCTTCAGCATAAATACTTAAAGTAGTCAGTTGTCCTGTGCCAGCTTTTAGTGAACAAAATGGTGACATGTCTTCATCGGAGCTCGTTTTGTGAGATGGTGTCACAGAACTGCCAGCGTTTCTTCATCTCCTTCCAATTCTGCTGCTGCTTTATTTAGCAACAGGGATTAGTAGCTCCTTTTGGAAAGTCTGTCAGACATGGTTCATTTCGTATATGCTAAGCACAAGTTAACATCCAACTGAGTTTTTGAGACTCGGATGTACTTACTGCCATGATTTTAGTCACCCCAAACTTCATGCTGTGATTGATATTTTGAGGCAGAACTTTTATTGAAAAAGATGAGAAATGGTTTATCTGAAGGTGAAAAGTCATTGCCTGACTTCTGGTGACTGAAACACCTAGTCTCTGGCCTTAGTCTAGATGGGAAAATGTTACGTGGTTAAAAAGTATGACTTCCACCCCCCCACAACAAGTTCTGCTTTTAGTTCTTGAGGATGTTTTGTGGTCAGAGATGATTATGGAAATGTTTTCAGTTGAAAATGCCATTCTCAAATCTTTCTAAACATACTTTTTGCCAACAGACTGCAGACATATTATTGAAACCATGTGATGAAGATGCAGATGTTGATGGAGAACATAATAGCGAAAGGTTTGTTCTTTTCTTCAATCACTGACAGGGCAAAATGTGTAACTTCAGTTTTGAAATGCAGAATGTATCAAATTGTGATTTGTGGCAACACAGCATAATGTGAGAAGTGAACTAAACATCACCTTGCACATCTTAAAATGGGATAAGGTGGAGTTACCTTCTTATGATGATGGTATAAAAGGCATGGAACTTTGTACTTACATTCTTTTTTAAGCAGCTAATCCTATATGATAGATACCATGGCTTTTTTTGTGAGCAACCTCATGTTCTGGGCAGGAGACACAGAAAATTAAAAAGTTATTCTCATCAAAATATTTAGGCATATTTTATTGCTCTTAATGATTGAAGAATTAATGCTGGAAACAGTGACTAGCCAAAAAGCTTGAAGTGAATTTGCAGTTTGAGTTCAGCATTGATTGAAATTTCACTTTGAGCTGAATTGAGTTTGAAAATATTTACTCCCAGTTTGAGAGTAAAGGTCTGTGCTGTTTTTAGTTCCAGCTTGGTTCAAGTCCAGTAGTTGTTTACATGCTTCAGCTGGAAATTCTGTGTGAAGATCACAGACAGGGGCAAAAAAAAAAAAAAAAAAAAGCAATATGGCTTTTGTTGCCCAGAATTTTAATTACTGCTTTAAGGAAATACATTGCCTTTCTGCCAGAATTGAACTATGGTTTGTAAGAATGAAATGTGAAGGGAGTGCATGGTATTTACTTGTAAATGGTATAAACCTGTGTTTAAAATGATAACTTGGTCTGTCTTTTCTTTTAGGGAAAATAGTATATTGCTTGGTGGCAATGATAGAATATCTTCAGAGATGTCTCTGGTAAGATGATGATTTCAGTTATGTACAGATCATTACATACATTCAGTTTATATGAAATACAGAGATGAAGGAAAACAATACATTTGGCTTTTACCATTTAATGTTGTTGTCCTGCTGCAAGGTTTGCAAAGCCTCTGTGAGACACCTCATCCTCCTGCTGCACAGAAACCTTGGGCAGCAGAGCAAACTTGTACTTACCCATGTCCTGTAAGGAGTGTTTTGCACCCCAGATAATTGACTGTTGCAGGGGAGGTGTTTATAATTCCTTGAGTTTGGAAAGAAGAATCCCTCCCCCCCCCCCCCCAAAAAAAAAAAAAAATGTTGGAACTGATTAGGTTCTTGATTTCCAGTTGCTAAGTAATAATAAAATTGCTCTGTTATTTCCCTTCAGGATTCAAGTAGCAAGACTTGTGATCTTAATGCAAACACTGATTCAGAGGTGTTGGGGGATGGCAGCATTAACGTTTCTGAGGAAGCTCCTGGTGTGCAAGTAGCACGTCTAGATCTGAAGAATGTATCTGATGGTGACAAATGGGAAGGTAATTTTCACCCTTTAACTCACAATATAGTTGGGTAGGAATAATAAACAGAACATTTTACAAAGTAGAAGCAGCAGACAGCTTGCACTTTTGTTTTTGTTTGAGCTGAATGATATGTTCCTGTACATGTGATAAGATCAGCCAAGTCATGACATAGGTCCCATCTTGTTTCAGAACTATTTCCAACTTAATTCAAGACCTTAAAAATTTGTAAAGAAAACATTGTCAAAGGAACAACTGAAAAAAGCAAAAAAACCTCAAACAAACAAACAAAAAACCTCAGCCCAAGTTTCATTCCAGATGGTTTTGTTGGGATTTTTTTGGTATTTGAAGTGCCTAAAGGTTCCATGACTCCAAATCTCTCATCCAAGTCCTTAAAAACACTTTTTCTAGATATATTATATAATTAATATTCACACTGTGTCTGGTCTTTTTTTTAATTTCATTTTTTTAATGTAAACTGCTGAATTCCTTTATTAGCTGAATTTGGCTGAAAATCACTGACCTGCCAGGCACAACAACTTATATGTTGATTATACAGAGAAATCTGTTGTTTTGTTTTCTTCTAAACATCAGGAATGTCAGATGTTGGTTTCCATGTCATTGGACAGCTTGAAGCAGCTCTAAATTTTCAAATAAAGCCTAAAGTTACAGATGGATATTATTTCTGTGCTCCTTTCCCCTCCATTTTTTGGACTTTAGTAAAAGCAAAACATTTGAAAGAGTTTTCTCTCAGACAGAATTCTTTGTTTGTGACCTTATTCTTCATGGCCTTCCAGGCTTAGCAATCCCCTGAGCTTGTGACTTCACTGAATTTTGGTTCTTAAATGCCTGGTAATACCTGTTTAGATTGTACTTGAAACAACCATAACCCCTTAGTAACCAGAGCCGAACACTCTTGTCAATATCTTCCTTTCAAAGTACTTTTCTTTTTGCTTATTTCTTATATCCCATTTCCTCTGTCTGGGGTTGATACTCTGAATCATCACACCTTAAAAGCTGCTAACGTGGGTGGTGCAGTGGCCACAGCCACTTGTTCCTGGTTGTAAAAACTTGCAAATACAACTTTGGTGGATCCAGTACAGCTGTCCAAGGTTGTAACTTCCAACAGGCTGTTCCAGTCACAGCTGTTCTTGAGAAGCCTTCAAGTGTCCCAGTCAAATGTTAGTCAGACAGTGGTAACACAGAATGCACTGAAGTTCTGGTTGCAGTGTTTGAAATACTAAAATTAGTGAAGCAAACCTGGAATGTGCATACAGTGACAGTACAGCACAGAGTTGAAGCTCAGGTGGTGATACCTTATTGTTAATTTGTCTGTATTATCCAAACGAATTGCCTTCATAAATCCATACTTCCCTTTGAACCCTTTTACAAAAGATGAGGTTTGCAACTCATGATTGGCTTCATTAGATCTGTGTATTTGCAGGTTGGTGATCTCGTGCCGCAGAGAAGCTGATTTGCAGCATCCAAAGACACTGAGTTGCCCAAGTCAATAGCTCTCTAAAGTTAAAAAGAATCTTGCTTATGTTCTCAGTGTTTTATTTGCATTAGTTGCTTACTTGCACATTGCATTTTGTTGCATCCTCTGTTTGTGTTAATCTGATTTAATACCTCAGGAGGTTTGTGGCTTCCATTTTCATGATTTCCTTAAATCTACTCATAAAAAGCTGCTTTGGTTTTACTTCCCCAAGTAGCTTTATGATCCTTACTTTGAAAAGCAAATAGCATATCTGTTTGTAAATTGATATGATAAAATTCTTGGTATTAAATCATGATCTTTTGCAAGAGGTGTTATTTCATTGTGAAGTATTGTAGTTTTGGCTGTTCCTCAGTCCTGTTTAGGATGGTTATTAGGATCTGAGCTGTGCAAGGCACTGCAGGTCCTTGTGGCAATTCCATTGAAGCAGTGACAGTGTAAAGAAATCTGTACTGGTCCAAATTTTCTTACAAGATTTGGGTTATTAAAGCCAGTGTAACAAAACTCAAGGCCTATAAGCAGCAGAGTGAACATGAACAGTGACAGTGAACATGAAATGTTTGCTGGCTTAAGGCAAAAATGCAGAATGGTTAATGAATATTTCTGAGTATTTTCTCTGCATTTGCCCTGCTGTTTGGAAATCACCACCATCTTTTACTATTTAGCAAAAATGTACTAGGAAGTTTTCTTTTGTTCACGTGAGGATGCATGAGACTCTTATTAAACTACAATAAGCCTTTACTATTCCTATATCAGTTCTTTGTAAAACCTTTTCAGTAAAAAGTTCAGACTGGCTAAGGGACTGAGCATCCTTACCTACCATGGGAATTGCTTGGAAGCTGAGAGTGCTCAGGGCCTGGCCTAAAAGATGGGGAGGTTTTTTCCCTGGTACTGTATCTTCCTGCTTTACATGTTATGTATAGTTTGTTCTGACTGTGCTGTGTGTTCACTTTAGTATTTTTGCCATTCTTTTTCATTTTATTAGCGCCATGCCCTATCACTTTCCCCCTCATTGATTTCAAAACAATGCATCTGCAGAGAGAAGGGGAGGGTAAGTATGGTTCGCCATACGTTCAGTTATCTGCCTTTTGATAGTTTATGGTTTGCTTTCTAACTAACCCTTCACCTGCTGTCCCTTATATCTTGGGAATATTCTGATCTGCAGTTTGTTTGTTGGTTTTTTTTTTTTTTTGAGTCTAAAAGGTCCCCTCCTTGTATCTTGTGCTGTGCTAACAGGCAAGATTACAGCTGAAAAACAAAACAAAAAAATCCCAATCGTACTTAGCAAATACACAATGGAAAGCAGGTACAAGGGTTATTTTTTTGAAAGATTACTGTGTGGGTTTGATTGTTGTTCTGCACACTTAGAACCCAGTTTTCAAATTTCTGATTTGAACTGGAAAATATAGGCAACTCTTTGGAAGGAAAAGGGGGGTGGGATTTGAAATTAAAGTGCTTGGAAGGCCATGTTAGCTTTTTGTTAGACAGCAAGAAAACCATGTCAAAGAATTTTAAGGGATGTTAGCAATGAACTTTTCAGAGGGATTTGAAAGAATTAATTGTTTTGGAATCTCCTGCCTTAAAAAAAAAAAATCACCTTCCACAAATTAAGAAATCTCTTTTTCTCAGTGGTGTCAAGTTAGTTTTAATCTTAAAAACCCAACAACACTCCTTTGCCAAGACTTAAGCAAATGGGTATTGTACCTAAGGAGGTACTGTCAGGCTTCCCTTCTCCAAAATCAAGAGGACAATCTATCAAAGTACATGTGTAAGGTATGAAAACTAATTTCCACAGCAAAATATTGCAATGGACAATAATTTTGTTCTCCTAGTTTTGGATTTCTTGTAAATAAATAAGGCTCTTCTACGCTTTTGAACTGCTCAGAAATGCATACTCCCAAGATACACTTTGAAAAAGGGATCCTAGTGTGCATACTTCATTTCAGTACCTTTTTCTTTCAGTTATATGACAGAATTTGTAGCTTTCTGATGTATTTCAATGTTTTTATTCACTTTGTGTATGACACCACATCCTCTATAGCATACAAGACTAAGCATTGGGTACACATTTTTGTTTCCTTTTGGCTCTTGTTTATAATTCTGTTAACAGAAAAGTACCATTTTGTGTCCTTTTTTTATCTTCTAGATCCATTTCCTGCTTTCAAATCGTGGCAGGAGGACAGTGAGTCTGGAGAAGCTCAGCTTTCCCCCCAGGCTGGAAGGATGACTAACCATCCGTTAGAAGAGGACAGTCATCCCATTTTGTCACATCGGAGCTTGGATTTTGGGCAAAGCCATCGTTTCTTACACAATCCAGAAACGTTAGATTCTTCATCCAAAGCACTTTCTTTTGTTAGGTGTGTGTTTTAATGCAGTCTGCTGGGTTTGGGGGCTGGAGATGTTCCTGCCAGTATGAAAAACAGCTGTCTAAAAGCCTCCTGGTATGAATTATCTGCAAAGCAAGGTCAAATGTGGCATTCTGTGGCCAATTGACTGTTCTGCCTGCCCAGGAACTGCCATAGTGCGTCAGACTAGAGGTTCATCTGGGGTGGTATCGTGTCTCTCAAAGTGGCCACTGACAGATGTTGAGGGAGAGAGTATAAAAACAGGGCAAGCTTGCCAGGTTTTCCCTGGCATTTAATCAGAGCTTTGGATGACCTGCTGTAGTGGCACTTCCTGGGCTGAAGGTAGTATTTATATCCTTTGTTTACCAGCTTTGCTGGAGTCTGCTCTATGATTTTATGTAACTTTGGCGTTTTTTGGGGTTTTTTTTAACCTGGTTGATGAAAGCAGAGTTGTCACTAAACAGGCTGTGAGTTATTTGTGTGACTCTGGGGAGTGTGACCCTCCCAAACTGTAAATAACCCGTGACCTGTACTGTCTGTGACTGTTACTGTGAAAGGGAACGGGAGTCACCTTGTGTAATAAGTATCCTAGGAAATTCCCATGGTCAGTCTTGAAATTAAAAGGCTTTGTAAAAGCAGCAAATTTCAAGGTGCTGTCCAAGTGCAAAAGATGATACAAACCCAAATCACATACTCTAGGAATTTTTTTAGGAAGTAAAATATAAGAAGTTTATTGGTAAAGCCAACAGATGATATGGATATTTTTTATATAAGTTTCTAATAACTTGCCTGAGACAGTTAAGTGAAGCTGTCTGATTACCAAGGATTGTTCAGTGGTAGCTTCTAGTCTAGGCTTTATTTTGTACCCAGTAATCAAAACACTGAGTATCTAGTAACTTAGGTAAGTAGCATAGCACCAGGAAGGTGCTAATTAATGGTACAGTAGTTTTACACTTGGATTTTAAATGCTGTTTTTCTGTTATCACTATCACTGAAATCAGAGGGGAGAAAATACCACATCTTGAAGGCAGCAGCAGCTCAAAGCATTTTGAGTAAATAGCTCTGAAAATATGAAAAGAATGGATTATGAACTGGTAAAATGCTGAAATTAGTCATCTGTAACTTAAATATACAAGCTGTTTGCACTTGTTTAATTGTTTCATTGACATTTAGAAAATGTTTTTCATGCAGAACACGAAGAGCATCCTTTAGCTCAAAAGATGACAAAAGGGAAGACAAGACACCTTATCAGCTTGTCAAGAAATTACAGAAAAAAATAAAGCAATTTGAGGAACAGTTTGAAAAAGAGAAAAACAGTAAGGTAGGTCACCACTTCTGTTCTCACTCAGGATAAAGGGCTGCATGGTAAAGTGCAGTGACTCTTGTAGTCCATCAGACTGTGGGTTTACCAAGGAGAAGGATTTTGTTACACACTGCCCTCTGCAAAAGTGAACTGAGCAAGAGCAATACTAGAAAATGTCTCATAATGCCAGAGCCAGAGATGGGCAGGGAGTGATGGTGATGCTGTGAGACTGAGGGAATATCAGCTGAGATGTGTGAGAGGCAGAAGCATCTTACCACTCTCTAGACCAAGTTCTGATAGTGTTTCAGTTTTATTTTCACCAGTGTTGTCTGTTACCTTGGCACTGAGATCTGGTCTGATCCTGACTGAGGTCCATGTAACTATCCACATTTCCTGTCACAAAGATCACCAAACCTTGAAAGAAGTATTTATAAACAAGATGTAGTGTGCTTGTTTTAAAATGCAGTTTGTTTTGTTTTTCAGCCCTCCTATAGTGATATTGCAGCCAATCCGAAAGTTCTGAAATGGATGACTGAACTTACCAAATTGAGAAAGCAAATTAAAGGTAAGAGATGTTACAGTTTCTGGTTTTCTGCAAACACAAATTATCGACATGACTGAAATGGCTAAGTCATTCAGTAAAATTCCACAGAACACTAACAATGTTTCATTCCTACAGACTGAACTATTCAAAAATCCAATTATTCTTGTGGCTTCAGTTCATTAGGAGAGAAACCTTGCTATGCAAATTGCTGTGTACCTCTATTTGCAGTTAAACGAACTGAGAGCGTTATTTCTTTTAAACCTTTTGGATTGAGCGATTTTTCTTATTTCAGATGCAAAGCAGAGGAGCTCAGATGGAGAATTCATACCTCAAACACGTCCACGAAGTAACACTCTTCCAAAAAGCTTTGGTTCCTCTCTTGACCAAGAGGATGAAGAAAACGAAGATGAGATGAGGGTTGTGCAGGAGAAGAAGCCCAGCAAGGAGGCTACACTGGAACTCATTCTGAAAAGATTAAAGGAAAAACGAGTTGAGAGATGTTTGCCAGAAGATATAAAGGTAAGCTCAAGGTTGTGGATAGGCTGTTTGTAAGAGAAAAAGAGAGGGAAGTAGAGCACTGTCAGACATTTCAGATACCACTTTATCAAGAAAATGATGCCTCAGTCTATCAGCCTTTTGCCAGGCTATCCTATTTCAGGCTCTGTGGGGAAATTATCAAGATGAACCACACTTTCCTTGCTTGCTCTCTTAAAAAAAATTTACAGGTATGTGCTGACAATGTTGAACAGCTTCAAATGGATATTATGATACTAACTCAGCTAAGTTTGACTAAGGCATCTGTATAGCTGGTAATGTATTAAAAGCTGTTCAAGTGACCTGTGTTTGATTCAGTGTTAATTATTCTTGGTAGAAAATGACAAAGGACCATTTGGTAGAAGAGAAAACATCTCTGCAGAAAAGCCTCCTGTATTATGAAAGCCAACATGGACGGCCGGTAATGCTTGGTTTTACTTCAGACTCTGTGGGGGTGTGTGCACACAACAGCAACTGCTGTGCAGTAGTGAGACCAGAATTTAATGCTGGTGGGGGGGGTTCTTCTCTTCTCCAAAACACAAAGGTATCTATTGGCCTCCATGTTGCCATCGGAGGAACTTACTGCATTGACTTCTAAAATAAAAGTATGTATAAATAGGCCCTTTTTCCACAAATCAGTAAGTTATTGGAGTTTGCAAAGTGATTGGTATCATTTGGTGCCTTATGTGTCTGTGAGGCGAAGAGACATCTCAGAAATAAATGAGATTATTGAGTTTCCTCAAAATGGCTGGAAATCCTATTCTGGATTCCACAAAAAACAGAAATGAAAAAGCAAGTTCCCACCCCTCTCTCTACAGTTTCATCTCTTTCTTTTTCCCCTTGTCATTTCTGTAGAACCATCATCATTGCCAGGCACACATCTTCTCCCCCAGTTCTTGGTCTTTTGCCTCTTTTCCATGGGTATTTAAGGACAGAGGGTTTGCTTCTACTGAAGTTGCCCTAACTTTTAGGAAGTCTTTACAGCTTTTTCCTGAAAAATAGAAGGCATAAAAGTGAGAAAAGAGAGGAGGAGAAAGCATCCACTTACTGTGTACTTTGATCTGCATAAACCCCATTTCATACACAGTTTAGACTAGTTTTATGTTCCTAATTGGAATGTATGTGGCCTGGCAGGAGAAGCACACTGCTTTGTGTTTGCTTGTCTGTTATTGAGTGACTGGTATAATTAATTCTGTGGTTTCTCTGCCTTCAGGTTACTAGAGAAGAAAGACATATTGTGAAGCCACTTTATGACAGATACAGACTTGTAAAACAAATGTTAACTAGAGCAAGCATTACTCCTATTCTTGTGAGTAAAACAAATGCTATTTTTCTTTATTTTCCCCACTTTTGAATTGCTAGGCTGCCTTTAGAAGAGCTAGTAATACGTTCCACAGAATATCTTCCTTGTGGAAGGTACAAGATGATGCTGTCATTGCACTTGAGGCATTTGATCTACTGCTGAGCACAGAGCATTTCCAAGCTGCCTGTGACCTTGGTGGCTCTTGGGAAATAAATGGTTCTCAGTGGAAGTAAGTGAGCTGTGCTAACTTGCTGTGGCTGAGACATTCCCAAGTCACTGTGCTAGGTATGGATTCACGGGACATACTGTACTGTTAGTCCTTCCCAGAATAGTAATACCAGTTGCAGTGCAGGTTACTGTCAGCAGAGGCACGAGTGACAGGATTGGCCATCAGAACCATTTCATCCCCTCATGCTTGCCCAGAGCCTGCAGCATCTGTACAACATCCATGCTTTTTGTGTTTTCACTTCATTCCCTTCAGAATTGCATTCTGTTCTTTTCTTTCCTCTCTCTGTGGTCTGGTAAGAGACGAGGAAGAAAAGTTTTCATACTGTGTAAGGAGATTGATGTAACCTTGTTTGTAGTACCTGTAAAGCAGCTGGGGAGTGGCTTTGTTCTGCATGAGCTATAATTCAGACCCTGCACACTGACCCAGACTGGCAACAAAACCTGTTGTGGAAGGAAGGGACTGCATAGCTGATGTGAGATAATCTCTGTGCATGCAGACAGTTCTGTCTGAGGTGTACCTAGCTGGGCAGTGACTGACTTAGCAGGAACTTAATCTGGTGTTTACATTGTACCTGACAGTTTGTAGCAATCCCCTTTAAGATGAAGTGTCTTGAGATCAAGGGACCAGGTCAAGATCCTTTCCTTCTTGCCCATATATATTTTGGTAACTACTTTGAAAGAAAAATGTGATTTGCATCACAGTCATATTTCAGTTCTCAAGGGCTTTTCTATCCATATCTCTTTTTGAACTCCATTAACACAGGTTGCTCTTAAACACCACAGCATTTCCCCATGACTGGTGAGTCAGGTTTTTGGTGGTGCCCTTGACTGGTTGAGCTTTATCCCATCTCTCACCTCAGAAATCTGACTCTTCAGCTGAGTTGCATTTTATATTCTGGGTAGCCTTATGACTATATCATACTAAGGTGGTTGTTTTGAAATAAAGGGATGGGTGATAGACCATCAAAAGGATTTTAAATTCAGAAGAGATCGGTGACATGATTCCTAATCTGTGCTCTAGGCAACATCTGTAAGGTATTTTTCACAGGCCTTTGCTTTTGAAACCTATAGGAGACATGGGGAGATCTCTCATTACCAAGGGCTGTTCTGTGGTAGCTTCTGGGCAGGCTGGATCCAGTGCCAGGGATTTCAAGAGTGGTTTTGTTGGTTTATATGACACTTGATTCCATGAGATATCTCTTGGGGTGTCATGGTGCACTAATCACATGCACTGAAGCCTGTATGGAAACGTCCAAAAAAGCAGGAAACTATTAACCTTTCATGAGCTGAAGTTTTTTGGCAGGTCATTGTCTACGTGGCTTTTGTGTTCCACCTGTCTCCTGTTCAGATTCCATCTGTTGGAACTGCTTCTGCTGTCTGGGGATAATGGCTGAGCAGGTCATTATGTTGTGTGTGCCACAGGCAGCTAACAGTGACTCCTGTACAGCACAATGGTTTAGGCTGGAGTTCAAAGGGTTTTGACTCTGAGGTGACAGTGGATAGCTTTGACATCTCTGTTCTGACTGCAGGGCTTCAGAATGATCTAGGAAAAGAACCTGGCAGTATTATTCCCAGTGGATGCCTGGCAGGAGATAAAAACCAGCTCTGGCCTGTGTAACTCTGGTTTGATCTGGAAGGAACAAGAGTAAATATGAAGGTCAGAGCTATCATTGCACTTTGAGTTTCCTACAAAACACAGAGAGAGAGCAAGTGCTATTTTAAGTCTGAAGAAGAGGATTTTTACATCATTTATAAGCTACAACATTTACTTCTATATCAAGGATACCTTGGGCATCTTCTCAGGTTATATGGTTATTTCATTTGTGCTCTGTATGTTTGCAGCCATTTATTCATCTGAGAGGAAATTAGGTGACTTGGACATAATTCTGACCTCAAACAGCAGTTGATGTCTAATGGCACATAATGAAATAAACCTCTATTTTTTTGCAGGGATCACCATCTACCAAGAGGCGAGGGCAGATGTTACAGCCCATTATCGAAGGTGAAACTGCCCATTTTTTTGAAGAAATTAAGGTATGTACAGTGCATTTTTTTCAAAATACTTTGCATCACTTGTAATAAGGAACTGAAATATTTCATACCTGTTTTGAATTTCTGCTTTGACTTTCAGGAAGAAGAGGAGGAAAGTGATGGTTTGTCTACAGACCTGAATGATATCTTAAAAACTGCTGCCCAAACACAGCCTGTTCTAAGCCCAGTCGAAAACTCTGAGTCTGATGTTGAAGATGGCCAAGAGAAGCTGACCCGGGACCTGAGGCTGTCCAGCACTCGAGCTGCTTCCATGTAAGGGAACTCAGGAGTGGATCATTTCACTGCAGTGGTTGAATTGCTGTACTTTGAGTCATGATACCAAATCTCTGACGTCGGGTGGAAGGGAGTGACACGTTCAGCACTTCCCAAGAAATGTTTGGATTGAATGGGTGTCTTTGCACTGACATGTCTGACTAAGATCTTTTTGTGTTCAGTGAATTGTTTAGTATCTTCTAAACCTTCTTCAGCCTTACTTTGAGCTGTGTAGACAGCAGAAAATTTGTATCCTTTTATTAACTGCTGGTTAATTGCAGTTTGTTCTTAATATTCCACCATCAGACAGACAGCGTGTTCCTTGTGAGCCAGACAAATATATTATTAGTGCAGCTAGCTCAATTAATTTTGAGGACTCTAAATTCTATTGTATGGCCAACAATATTTTTCTTTTCCTTGCCATTTTTAGGCCTGAGTTACTGGAGCAGCTGTGGAAAGCCAGAGCTGAGAAAAAGAAGCTACGTAAGACGTTGCGAGAATTCGAAGAGGAGTTTTACCAGCAGAATGGCAGGTTTGTTTAGCACACAGCCAGGTGCTGGGCAGCAGCCTCTTGTGTAGCCAAGGATGGTTTTTAACTTTCTCTGTGAATGTTGCCAAAAGGAATCTGATCTGTTTTGATCTCTGCTATGAATAATCTCCTGAAGGAGATAACCTCATGTATTTTTAACAGTGGAGGAAAGCTGCTCCTGATTTTGTTTCCTCTCTTACAGTCTGGAAAGCATGGTTAATTAAAATGGAAAATGCAGATTTTCCCATGTAAAAAAAAAACCTTAAAAATACAAATTCCAGTAATGTGGCTTCATCATTCACTTACTGAACTTGGGACATAACTCCTCTTGACTTCAGTGGCAAATAATGAGGTTTAATAAGATTAACTAATTATAGTCCAGTCTTAAACAAGAACAATTCTCTGCTGTCAGTTTCTGGGTCAGTCTACATACAGTAAAAATGTAGATTGGCTTAAATTTATTTGTATTTTTCTGTAATGTGTACACAGGATCTGAAATGAAAGTCTTCACATCCTGTCAATAAAATTCCCCAGAAGAACTAAAGAGAACAGTTAGTACCCAGTGCTGCAGCAGTTGTGCTGAACATACACAGTTCAGGTTTTTAGGTGATGGCAGTTTTAATTACGGTGAACTGAAATAAAATGCCAAGCTTATTATTGGTGAACAAGCTGCCAAAAAGGTTTTTATTGCCCTAAGCTCACTGCATGTAGCTGCTTTTGTGTGTGGTTTGCTGCAGGATAGAGGATTTCCCTGAAATGTTGGTGTGCTGTTTTTTACAGGAACGTGCAGAAAGAAGATCGGGTCCCAATGCTTGATGAGTACAGGGAGTACAAGAAAATCAAAGCCAAACTGAGGCTGTTAGAAGTCCTTATCAGCAAACAAGATTCTTCGAAATCAATTTAAATTTTCCTCCTCCTCCAACCTGTTGAATAACGTGGTGTTTCCATATACTCCCCCTGTACTTGTTGGGTGCTTGTGTTCATGTGTCATGCACTGTTGAAAGAATCCAGTTTGTGCACTTTATTGGGGTGCCACTAGGACATGGTTGAAGGGTAAGTTGGTCCTGTCTAGAGAGCAAGTAAAGGTTTCTAAATTTGAGACTGCTCTATCCAACTTTAGCAAACACAGTTTCCATCAAAGTTTTGTATTCCAGATGCATCTTGTTCCAAAACAACCATAGCCTTTTTTTTTTCTTTAGTATTCAAGAACTTTGAGACTTTTGTTATTACCAACTTTTTTGCATTATTGAAGAAATTATTAATACTGTAATGCTACACTGAACTACTCCTCTTGCCTATTTTTTTATTATGGGGGGAAAAAAATCAGCAAATTAAAGGTACAGCTGTTATTCCTGGAACACTTAAACAGACTGAAATTCCTTTCAAAGGACTGCTGTGGAACAACTTTAATTTTTGGTATTCCAAATTGCACCTACACACAGTAATAATTAACGTCTGTGGATTTTGCTCATTAGTGGTCACGTTTCCTCCTTGGTAAAGATGACAGTGGACAAACCAGAAAGTGACCTTTGCTTAGTGGCTTTTATAACTTGGAAAACTGAAAAGTTCAATCACATGCTGCCTACAGGACTTATGTTACTGTCGTTCATTTGCTCATTCTATGGGTTGTTGTTTATCAGCTAGTGGTGACGTAGTGTTTTGGCTGAATTGGATACTGCATCTCCTCTCTCAGAAGATTTGAGGAACAGAACGAACACTCTGGTGTGTGGGAAATCTGATGGCACTCAGCCTGGTGTAGCTCCAGCAGAAAGGAGCTGGCTTAGGACAGTTAAAATCCCACTGTACCTGAAATAAGTCACGGTGTCAAGGGCTAAACTCAGTGTAGTTAACGTGCACCGCAGGGTGAAGCGTCGGTTTGGAGTGAAAGATTTTACTGCTGTTTATCACCATTTTGTTTTACAGTTGGAGAATAAAAATAAGTTATCTAACCCTTACGATGTAAGCAAAACAGTTTATGGGCCTTGCACGATTTAGCTTCAGAGTTGAAACTAAATAATAGTTTTTGAGTATCACATCTGCTGTGCTGAATGATGATTTAGCTTTGCTCCGCAGCTGGTCGCTCTGGCAGAATCAAAATGCTCATTTGAACTGATGCTTTCTCAGTTTGGGGTTTTTTTTTTTTCCTTCAGTGTATCAGTTTGATCGTGGCCACGTTTTGCATGCACCTACTCTCACTGCATGTTTTTTAGGACTGGCTAATGTCAACATAGCTATGATTCACTCTGCTTTATGAAAGACCAAAAATGAACTTTCTCACGACGTAAAAGAAATGGCTCACCTGTAACCTCAGAGACTTGCTGTTCTGTCATGAAGCATATGAAATAGGTTGCAAGTAGGATTTTTAGTGCTCAGATTTCATCTGTGTACTGTAGAATACTTCTTGTTTTGTTTTACTCTGCTTGTAGGCATGTAATTTTGGAGTTCAGAAAAAAAAAGCACTAAAACTATTGAGCACTGGTGGTATGCCTTCTTTTTTTTGTTTTGTTGTTTTTTAACTGCAAAAGTGATCTGGGACCTTAGAGAACTATGAGGTTAAACTAGTCTTGAGACCATTTACCAATTTTATCCAGTTCCATTGTGCAATGTACACTTCAGTTCCTTTTCTATCAGTCTGCAGACACGGGTGTATCCAAACATTGAAACTAATGTGTACTGTATAGTGTTGTACATGAATGTTTGTGTTTTATATACCACATGCAAAATGTCAATATGCACTATTTAAATGTTTTAAATAATATATTCCTCCTTTATAATGCTTAAATCTATATGATTCCAATATTTTTATAAGTGAGTGAGTGATCAGACTGGTTCCAATTCAGAATTAACAGCTGCTTTGTGTTTGTTATGCAGTGTTTGGCTGTTTATTCAGTATAGTAGATAAGCATGGCAACAGTTATGCTGAGTGTGTTTTGTGCCATCCTTGTTGAGCAATAAATAAATGGTAGAACTAGGCATTTTGTGATATAACAGTTTTACTTTGGTAAAAGCAAAACCTATATATCTATATGGATATATAGATATGGAATATATATAACTAAACCAGATATAATTGCATTGCTATGTCTGGTGCTCATTGTATAGACTTTTATAATAAAAGTACCTTAACCTTTATTGTCATATATCTTTGTTTCTTATCGTGCTTTCTCCTCCACTGTCATCCCATAAAAACAAGGGCCAAGTCCTTTGCTGTCCCTGGTTGCAGTTCCAGGGTGTTGGTGAGGCAGGTGGGAATTCCACAGCTATCCATGCTGGTGTGGTTGGGACAGCCCTGGGTGAAGCTACAGCACTTGGAGCCTGATTTTACCTGTGCAGAGTGTTCCTCTCAGCAGAGACAGCAGGAAAGGGATCACATCAGCTCCTGGACTGACAGCTTGGCTCATGTGGGCTTCAGTTCTGCTGAGGGTGACACAGGAGCAAACTGGACTCTTCCTCCTTCCTGCCCCAACAGTAGTAGTTTGGGAGTAGAAGGGGCAGAGAGCTGATTCAGCCATCACTGGGCTGATTAATTCACTGCCAGGGAATGCACCTTCAGCTGAACATATTTGATCCCTCAAATATGTTCAGTTGTCTATACTGATCCCTCAGCCTTGAAATGAGAGTCACAGCAGTTCCTGGTGTACACTGCTATTGCACACCCTGAGGATGCTTTTCCTCCAAACCAAACAGTTTATTTCATAGTATATTGTGAGTTCATATGAAAAGCAATCAAGGTCTTTTGAACTGATTCTTGTGTGCTGTGAAAATTCACCTTTCTTCAGCCTCAGGCCTGGCAGGGGACAAAAAACTCCTGATGGTGAAGACTCTGCTTGTGGATGTGTGGCAGAGCAGGTAAATGGGAACAAAAAAACAAGCAGGGAGCTGAGGGAGAGGAGAAGGAAAGCAGCCTTGAGCACATTCTTGGGGTTGGGACAGAATAACCTTCCCTCAGGTCATGTGGCCTTTCTTTGAAAATGGGGGGACTGAAGGGGGAAACAAATCCTTATCACATTGTCTTGAAAAGTGAACCAGGTTGCTACAGATCTGTTCTATAATCCCTATTTTCCCTTAATTCCATTATCTATTCAATGGAGCTTGCTGTGATCAAGATGCTAATGAGAAGACAAAAATCCCTCAGTGATTTAGTGGGAACTGCTTCAAATCCATGTGTGTTGAGAAGAGGAAAATAACCACGTTGAACACTCTTGGTCAAAATGGAGGCAAAATATGTTTCTGAGGGGGAAAAAGCTCAGGGATACTGGGACAAATCTTTTTTACTGAAGGGCAGTTCTGAGACAATGCAAGTTTGTAGTATTCCATGCTTTACCTCATTTTCAAATGGCCTGAGCCATGGTGAGAGTGCAGGGCTTGGAGCCTGTGGGGAGGGTTTGCTGTGCCCAGAGGAGTGGGGTGAGGTTGAGGAGTACTCGAAAGCTCTTCCAGGATGTTCTGGGTGAGTGTCTAAAGGTTACAAGGAGTGTCCTAGAAGGGGCTGCCAGGAAGGGGAAAGGTTGGAGATGCCAAGGATGCCATACAGCAGCTTTCCAGCCTGTCAGGCTACTGAGTAATCAACATCATCAGTGACCTATTTTCTGGAACTAAGTGTCCTGGGATGCTCCATGGCAACGAGGTCCCTTCGGAAGTGAAGGGAAGAGATGTTGTATTTTAAACCAGTCCCTTTGGAAGAGAGCAAATGGCTTGGCCTGGCCAGGAGGAGGCTGAACTGGTGAACCCTGATAGGCAAACCAGTGTGTGGCTGCACTGGAGATCTCTTGCTGCATCCCTTGGAGTACCTGTCTGCTCCCTTCTCCACAGCTCTGCTCCTCCAGACTCTGTGTGAGAGTGCTCTGCAGGCCACAGGCGTTAAAATCCAAATCTTCCAGGATTTATCTGAGATTCAGGATGCTTTGGGGGTTGTGTGTCACGCATGAGCTGAGATGTGCAGCAGCAGAGCTCCCCTGGCACTGGCCTCAAGTTTTCTCATGGCATGTCCAGAGGGTGTCTGGACGTGTTTTGCTCCCTCCTGCAGCTGAGTCCTAGCAATGAACGAATATTGATGTGTTCAGTTGTGTCTCTGGGGCAACATCTGGGAATGACAGAGATGCTCTGGGAGCTCTCCCTGGTGGAGCGAAGCGCCCTCTGCTGCCTCCAGCTGGGACTGCCTGAGCCAGGGAAAGGCATTTGGGGTTTTCCTGAAAGCATCACTCACTCACTCACTC